CCCTCCATGCAAGTAAATTTACAGGAGTAGGAAAGGGAGGGAGAAGCTAATCACCCTTTTAAATGGTGATGCTTGATTACTTTGGAAATCATAATTTCATAATGGGAGCATGTTGTTCTTCAATTAATAATGCAAAGGAAAATATATATGGGAGAAAAGTATAGAATTAATGAGATAATGGCTAGCTAGATAGCTTGGAAGACTTAGACAATCTAAAGAACTGTCTACAACTTGCTGCTGCACCTGTAAATGAAAAATTTTTAGTTGGTAGTGGTACTTTTTTTTCCCCCAGAATGGTGAATAACACTAAATTTCAAAGCAATAGTCTCCTGCACATTCCTGGCTAACCCTAATCTCACTCTCCACTCCAGTGGCAGTGTGTATATGTGTGTGTGTGTATGTATCTATCTACAGGTATTAATAAAGACATACTATGTACCTCACTGCCTCAGGCTTTAGAGGAGGCAGAAGCGTAAGATAGAATCTGTACCAGGAAATTCAGAGCTACAAAGGAATACAAAGCCAAGACATAAGTAATAAATTAATTTCCTGAGGATTCATGTTAGGAGGCACGGCATCAGTGAACCTTGAATAATGCTTAGCATTAGCTGAGCAGAAGAGACCACTTTAGGGAGGGAGGACAGTATGAGTAAAAGGCCAGAGCTGGACACAAAACAATTGTCCTGGCCCTGGGTGGTGAGGAAAATATAGAAATGTAAGTTGGAGTTTACAACCATTCTGCTGTTCCCTGATTTAATTTTTCTGGTAGTTTACTTGTAGAACTCTAGATAATAACCTTATATACTTATTACTTGATTTTTTCAACTTTAGATAAAAATGTTGACTCTTGGGTATGAAAAATGTTTTTGCTTACTCGTACCATGCAGCTCTCTTTCTTGCTTCCCTTAATACATATTACTTTTTTTTTTTTTAAAAAGCATTCTTCTCTGTTGGTTACACTTGTAACTGTAAATAATACCTATCTGTGTTGTTTGTGGCTTATATATTCCCCAAAAGGATATCTGAAATTTAACACCGAGTATTAAATAAGCACTTATGTTTTGGACAGAAAGAAGAAAAAATTGAAAATGGGTGCATATACATCCTGGGATAACAGAAAAAGAATTTACACTACTTTTGAAATGACAAATAACATCTTTTTTCTTTTAGGTTGAACAAGTAAAATTACTTGACCGATTCAGTACCAGCAACAAGTCATTAACAGGGACGCTGTATCTTACAGCCACACATCTGTTATTTATAGACTCTCATCAAAAAGAAACCTGGGTAAGGAGGACCACAGCTGTGCTGTTTACCATATTGATAATAATGGACTTGGTCTGTCCCGTGTTTTGTTTTGAACATGTATAACAAAATTTTTAATCATTGGTTACCTATCTCAACCAAAAATTTTTTGTTACCAAATCATTCCTGCCCTCCCTTCTTATAAATCAGTGGTGTTATGCGTAATGTTGAATTCTTCTGTAGAATACCAGACTCTTTTTATCTCATAAATAATTATAAAATGCCTATTTATTCCTTTTAATTTTTAAAAATCTAAATATATGTATATGTTAACAAGTCAAATTGATTGGTGTATTACATAATATTTTTATACCGAGTTGCAGTTAAGGTGTTTAATTTGTTTTTTGCTAGTATAAACATTGTAGTATACACATGCATGTACCAACATCTTGTATATGGATATAAAATATATGTATACATTTTCAAGAGTACTTTTATATATACTCAAGCATACCTTTAAATATACTTGAAAATATACATATACATATACAAATGTCTTGTACATGTTTCTTTCTGTACATGTGCCAGAGCTTCTCTGAGATATTTGCTGGGGAGTAAAATAATTGGGTCTTGGATAAGCACATATTTGATCTTACTAAATTTGTCACCTCTTCAAAATGGTTGTTCCAAGTTATTCTCCTCAGTAAAGTGTTACACATTGTTCTACATCTTCAGCAACATTGGTATTATCAACTTAAAAATTTTTGCTTATCTGCTGGATGTGCAATTATAATGTTAATTTGCTGATTATAAAGAAATTATCTTTTCAGATATTTTGGCCATTGGGTTCTCTTTTCTTTTTCTATTGGATTGTTTGTCTTTAACTCATTTTATAAGGGTTCTGGGTTTTATTACTTTGTCTTTGTTTTATTACTTTATTACTTTTAATTTATTACTTTATTACTTTTATTACTTTATATAGCACACATAAGTATCTGACACACAGATTTCTGTGTGTCTCATAGATAGCTTTTCCCCAGTGTGTGGCTTGTTTTTTGTCTGCTTTTGAATATATATGTCTTTTAATTAATGTTTAAATTTTTAATGTTATAGATTTTTCACTTTTTTCTCTTATGGTTTATGCTCTTTTGGGACTTAAGAAAACCTTTCCTATGTCATGGTCATAAAGATTCTCCTATATTTTCTTCTTAAAGCTTATGTTTGTCCTCCATGTATAAGGGTTAATACATCTTGGAAATATTATATTTTGGTGTATGATATGACATAAGGATTCAGTTTTATTTTTTTCCCGTGGACAACTGGCAACATTTATTGACTGTTTTATTCCATTGATCTTTAGTACCAGATCTGTCATAAATAAAGCTTACAGGAATGCGAGGGTCTGCTTTTGAGCTCTCTCTTCCATTCTTTTAGTATATTGACTACACTGTACCAATATCACACTGCTTTATTGACTATAGTGTCTTAATAATTTTTGATATCTAGTATAGCAAATCCTCCCAACTTGTTCTCTCCAATTGTCATGGATGTTTGGGGCTCTTTGTACTTCCCTTTATGTTTTAGAATTGATTAATTTATTTATTCATGCATTAATTTAACACGTTTATTGAGCACCTGCTGTGTGTTTCATATCACTATTCTAGATATTTTGGAAACAATAGCCAGTAATAACAGATACAAAGTCTGCCCTCAGGGATCCAACATTCTAGTGGGGAGAGAAAGACAAACAGGATAAATAAGTAAAATACATAGCAATAAGTGCTAAGCAGAGAATAAGTCGAAATAGGGGGTAGAAACGTGGGGTTTGTATCTGTGTGCTTGAGAGGGAGAGATTGAGGCATGTTTCTCTGCCGATGGCTATGCCAGGTTTTGTAGCCTTCATTTTATAGATGAAGAAGCTGAAGCTCAGGGGAAGTGATGGTTTGTTCAGTGTCACACAAGCAGTGCAGAGTAGTAAAGGGAACTTAGGCTGTGCTGTCAGGTAGCTTTGGGTTCAGATGCCAGCTTTGCTGCTTTCTGGTTGGGTGACTATGTCAGGGTGCTTTTGACTGTAAGTAAATGAATACCTGACTGAAAATGGTGCCAAACCTCCCAAAACAGGAGGGGTGGGTGGGTTCTCCTCAGTACTCCCTTCTTCTTTGATCAGGGAGGAGAAGCTTTTCCAGAAGTCCCTCAGCCAACTTTCCTTAACATCTGATTGTTCAGAAATTGGGACACTTGGCTACTTCTGCCTGCATAGGAGGTAGAGAATGCAGATTTCTAGCATTTTTGATCTCTTGATGGAGATGGGCATTGCAAGTAAAGAAGGTGGAGAGGAAGGACAGACCAATAGTGTCTGCCAAAAAGTGTGCGACTTTCAAGCTTAGCACCTACATAAAATGGATGTATAACACCGGTCATCATGCAGAGCTTTTGTGAATTTTAGATGATAGAAAATATTTAAAACATCTGTGCCTAATGCCTAATAGTGACTCAGCAAATCATAGTGCTCATTCTATTTTTCTAAGTAGTAGAGTCAAGATTAGAGGTCAGTTATGCCTCCCAATCTGGCGAATAATATTGCTCTGTGGTACACTATCCCTCATGGCACCTTATGCATTCTTCTTTTTATCTCTTTGATTGTACTCTTTTGATTTGCCCACGATGGCCAACCGTTGATATGTGATTACTGTAAGTAATTTCCCTGAGATGCTGACCTTAGAGAGATTGTATTCCCTAGAGGCACTGGATCCCTTCCCTACCCAGTGCTTGCCAAGAACTGCCAGGAGTCTTATTAGCAGTACCTTCTAAAGTCATTAGTCATGTTATCCTCCACTCCATCTGCCCTTCCTTTGTCCACCTGCCTTGGTATTTTCTCTGTATGCTGTCCATCTCCTAGAGATACAAATGAAAGTTTCCCATACAGCTATTTCTATAGCTGTTGGGAATGTAGTTTGAGGGACAGCAAAAGATATCTATGTTGTTCTCTCCTCTCCTGCCATTGTCTTTAAGATGCTTTCTTATCAGTATTTTCCCATGTGTCTCT